GAGAACCAGGGTGGGGCATGTCCTTGACTAGCTTTTTCCTCAACCACAGGGGAAGAGGCTGCTGGGGGTGACAGGCTCATCCATGAGCGGGACTTGGCCTGGCTGCAGCAGGCAGATGGTGAGTGGCCCTCCCTCCTACCAGCAAACTCTTCCAGAATGTTAAGATGCCTTGGACATCCCGGGCCTCTACACCTAGAAAGGATCCCAGAGTTCCCTCCTCACCACAACCACATTGTCATCACTCCCTTAGAAACCCCAAGCGCCCCAGATACTGTGCCTTAGTCTCTCCTTTCTTCCCAGTGGTCGTGGCAGAAGTGACCCAGCCATCCTTGGGTGTAGGCTATGAGCTGGGCCGGGCGGTGGCCCTCAATAAGCGAATCCTGTGCCTGTTCCGCCCGCAGTCTGGCCGAGGTGAGCACCCCAAGTCCTAGAGGGCCACCCCTTCCCTCCCTGGCGTTCTGCTGACCCAGCCCTCAGCTCCTTCCTTGGCGGGCTCTGAACACAGTGCCCACCTGCAAAAGGGCACAGGGAGGAAAGCGGCAATGAGGGGAGTGTGGAAGGGAGGCGGCTTCACCTTTCCCTGTCCTTCCCAGTGCTTTCAGCCATGATCCGGGGAGCTGCAGATGGCTTGCGGTTCCAGGTGTGGGACTACGAAGAGGGGGAGGTGGAGGCCGTACTGGATCGATACTTTGAGATGGATCCTCCCGAGCGAGTGGCTGCCTCCCCTGGCCCAACCGCTTGACTTAATCCCACTGAATATAATTCTTCTGATCCCAGACATTGCTCTAGTACCATTCCTGCCCCTTAGCCCCAGTAGCAAATTAAAAAGTGTGTTTAAAATTCTAACTTTATGTCTGTGTGTGGAGTAGAGAAGGGCAGGACCTCAGGAACAACCCTTTCACTGTGAGCTGTAGAGAGGCCCTTCACAAGTCTGTAGACCAAGAGACACCTAATGCCCTCAACCTGCCCCCCCACCCTCAGAACATCGAGGGTGCAGGCCATCCCTCTGTCTCCTATGAAGCTGGGCTGGGTCTGCACCTAGCCCTGTACCGTATCAACCTTCACTTCCCTTTCTTAGCCTAAGTTAAATAGGTCTGCTCTGGGCCTTCTCAAGAAGAGAAGAGTCCAGAGGTCTAGAGAAAGCAGTAAAGAATGAGGGGTAGGGGGCCGGGCACGGTGGCTCACGCCTGTAATCCTAGCACTCTGGGAGGCCGAGGCGAGTGGATCGTTTGAGCTCAGGAGTTCAAGACTAGCCTGAGCAAGAGCGAGACCCCTACTAAAAATAGGAAGAAATTAACTAAAAATATACAGAAAAAATTAGCTGGGTGTGGTGGCGCATGCCTGTAGTCCCAGCTATTCAGGAGGCTGAGGCAGGAGGAGCGCTTGAGCCCAGGAGTTTGAGGTTGCTATGAGCTAGGCTGACGCCATGGCACTCTAGCCCGTGCGACAGAGTGAGACTCTGTCTCAAAAAAGAAAAAAAAAAAAGAATGACCGGTAGGGTGTGTATGGGACCAGGGCAGTTGAAGCCGGCTGGCTCCTGGTAAAGCTGTCCAGCCTGCTTCCAGAGAAGTATGTGAAAAAAAGTTTATTCAGGAAACAGAAGAAGGTGCTGCAGACACTGGGATCCCCTTCCTCATGATAGTGGGGACGGGTGAACTCCTGCCCCCTCAGCCCTAGGACTCTGGGGCGCTCCAGGTGTTTCCTGCATCCTGCTTCCTCAGTCATAGGCCTCATCATCATCGTCCTCCTCATCACCAAAGAAGAAAGCCTCTCGGTCCAGGTTCTCAGACTCCTCATCATAGGAGAAGCTGTCATTGTCCAGCTCCTCATCAAACTCATCCTGCTGCCACTCTGGAACATCGTCCTCATCGTCTTCCTCCTCTTCTTCTTCCTCTTCCACCTCCAGCCCTGAGGGGCCCTGGGGCCTAGGGAGAACCATCACATTCAGCCCCGGAGGGAGCCTGACATCTCCCACTGCCTGCTCCGAGGCTCTGCCTACCCTACTTACTGACTGCCAGGCACGTTGGAGCCTTTCGCCTCCCGGGCCTCTACTGATGGACTCTGGAGACCAAGCCGGAAATCCTGGCAAGCAGACAGGACTCGGGGAGTAGAGGACATTCGCCCATGGTGCCCAGCATTCCTTCGCTGGCGCCTTCTGAGAGCCAGGCTCCTGCTGGGAAAGCTCCCACCTCCTCTCACCACAGCACTTGGCAAACCAACACCTTAGTGTGATTTAACTCACAGATGGTCTCCAGGGATACAGGGTAGACGGCGAGGCACACCACCCTGTGTCTAAGGTGCTCCCAGTATGTGTTCATTCCTTTCTGTCCAAATGACTTGCCAGTCAGTAAGCAACCCGAGGGCAGGAGTCATATTTTACACTTAGCATCAGTGTATTAGAGCTGGAAAGAGCCTGGGAGATCCCTTACGGCAGTCAGCCCATCCTCTGGCCTCCACTCTAGGATTTTTAAGTCCACATATGGGAAGTGTAGCCTGGAAAGGTTCTCGAAGTGATTCTGATGGGCACCTGGCCAAAACCCTTGATGTGGGATAACCAATGCCTTTATTTTATAGGAAAGCCCAGGAGGTTGAGTGACAGGGTCCAGCAGCATCAAGCAGGCTGGCCCAGGAGCTGGGATGTGCACCCACGTCTCCAGACATCCATTCAACCCCCTTGCTGCCTTTCCTTCTGGACTCATTCCAGGGCAGGGGCTATCGAGGGCATAGGAGGACCCTAACCCCTGACCCTGCAGGGACAGAAGAGGTCAAGGCAGGGGTGGTACCTGGGAGGAGTGCTGCAGGATGGCCAGCAGCCTCTCCTGGATCCGCCGCAGCAGCTCCATGCCCGTGCTGAGGCAGTCGGCCCGCAGGAGGCGCAGGGAGGAGGCCAGGTCTCTGCACCGCAGCAGGGTCTCCTCTGCAGAGGAGGCAGGCACAGGGGCTCCCTCCCTTCTCCCATTCTCATCCACTCCTTCCTTCAGCAAACACCTATGGGACATCTACCAAGTGCCAGGCATGACTCTAGACACTCATTCTCAACAAGCTCCCGCTCTAGGGGCAAGGTATAGACCAGAATCAAAGAAAATGGCAGGTGAACATCTGTGCCCTCAGGCACCTTACAGCATAGGCTTTAGACCTGAACTTTCAAAGCCAGATGGTGAGCAGCCTATGAAGAATGAAAAAAGAGGAAGAGGACAAAGGGAAGGAGGGGGCACTGTTTTACCTGTCAGGTTGGGGCTGGGATGCTCAGAGAGGGGAAGAAGCGGGCAGGAGAAAGCACTGCGGGCAGGGGTGGGGCGGGCTCACCGAGGAGGATCTGCAGGGCATTGGTGTGCAGCTCCAGGCTCTCAGTCTGCTGCTCCACCACATCCATGTACTCCGTGTCCTGGCTGTAGAAGCTGTACACGCAGGCATAGGCCAGCACCTAGGGGAGCCCCAGTCAGCTCTCCCTGCCGCGGGCCAGGCACCTCCACTCCCCACCTGCCCGCTCCTCGTTCCCTCCATCCAGGCAGGTCAGATGAAAGCAGCCAGGCCCACCAGCCCTTGGCACACCCCTGCACCTCCCTCCTCCCCTACCAGCTACGGCTACAACCAACCTTTCGCGCCTGCTCCAGTCCCCGGCAGGCATCATTGAGGAAGGTGAAGGATTTGGGCGGGGGTACCTCATGGATGGCAGATACCCGGTTCCACAAGTTCACAGCAAACTCCTGTGCAGAGGAAGGTGCATCAGCACCAGCAGTGCAGCCCGACCCCATCCAGTTCGGACCATCCGCCCCCCCCCAACCCCCCCCATGCAGCTACCCACTGTTTCCTCCCTGCTTACCCGGGCCTGGTGATGGAAAGTGCACCTCTCGTTATAGTCCTGGAACCGCTTCTCCTGGCGAGCTGCTTTGCTAACCTGGTGAGGACACGTTGAGAGCGTTACTGGGTGCTTTGTTTGGACGGGACAGAGTTAATAATTAGAATAGCCATCATTCACCTTTCTACATTCTCCCCAGGTTATTTTCATTTAATCCTCATAACTGTGGGGGGTAGGTCATATTAATCCCCTTTATAGATGCTATTGAGGCCTGGAGAAGTAAACTGACTTGCCCAGAGCCACACACCATGCAGTGAAGCCAGGCTCTGACTCCAGAGTCCTTGCTCTCTCCACACTGCCCTGATGCCTCCTGAGAATGCCCAGCCCTCCCCAGCCCTCCCGTGGCCACCTCAGTGTGAGAAGTCCTGTTCTGGAGCTGAAGGTCCCTGTGAACAGACCTCCCAGTATAGAATTCCCAGCACCTGCAGGCCCAGGTAGCTCTGTCCTCCCTCATGGAGCCTCTGTCCAAACAGCTTTGCACACACAGCCCCCTCTGCACAGGCCCCAGTGGCAGCACCCCTCCTAACAGCTCTGCCTCTGCCCTTCCCCAGTGCCCAGCCCCTTACCATGGCAGAGCAGTTGTAATAGTCTTTGTGATTTGGCTTCCAGGGCTTGAGGCAGCGCCAGCAGAATCCATGGTTACATTTGGCACAGGTCATGCTATGGAGGAAGCTAGCTGGAGGACTCCTGCCTCTGGGCAGGGGCATGCCAGGAATGCCAAGGTCCTGGATGCACAACTGCTGACGCCCTGGCATCCATCCTCTCCCCAGTCCTGACAGTCTCCTTAATCTTACTCTGCCCTACTGAATGCACCTTGCTTTTGAATCCCCCCATAGAGTATAGGCTTCAATGTGGGGGAAGGAACATTAAGATCAAGGAAGTCACTGAAGGATGCTAAGTAAGGGGTGGTACTTGTTTGCTGAGCTTTACAGTGAGCCCAGGGCCCCTTCCTTCTACCAGGTTACCCCCTCCTCCCTTGCCCTCTGACTTCCCACAGTACCCCCCTTCTTACTGCAGGCACCCCTCATTCTTCTCGATGGGAGCCTGACAGCTGGGACAGCGTTTGGAGATGAGCTTGGCCAGGTGCTTGCTCTGGGCCTCCACACTCATGCCGTCGTAGTAGCCACCATCGTCAACCCACTGAGACATGTGGCTACAGCTGGCAGGGTAGTGTGCCTACAGCAAGAGAGGGTGGTGAGACAGTTGAGCCCTGACTGAGGGTAGCAGTGCTCCTGTGCACGGGAGAGAGGGGGAGAAGACACAGGTCATATCTGGAGCACTCCTGGAGGAGGAACAGAGCTCAAATGGGTGGCAGAGGCTGACGAAGGACAAGTCACAGTGTGTGTGAGGCAGGGAGGGGTGCCAAGCAGGGAAGGAGTGTGAATCCTTGGTTGGGGTCAGGGCTGGCCAGGGTGGGGCACCCACCTCAGGGAAGCTACAGTTGAAGCAGGAGGCCCAGCCACACTTGGAGCAAGTGGTCCCGCAGCCTAGGCCCTGGCGGCACAGGATGCGGTCACAGCCCTGGGGGTTGGTGCACCAGGTCAGGTTGGAGCAGCTCTCCACGTAACCACGCAAGAGTGCCTTCTCGTACTGTGGGGCCATAGGTGCCACAAGGTGAGGACATGGCTCTCCAGGATGCCACACATCCAGGCCCCCAGCACCCCGTAGCTCAGCCCATTCCCTGCGGCCTGCCCCTTTGGCTCTGCGCTCGAGCCTCTCTTAGACGAGAGAAGATACCTTGGAGATGACCTCTGGCGAGGAGACAATGGCACGAATGAAGGCTCCGGTGGGCTGGGCCGGGCAGTCGGCAATGGGGCAGGTGCAATTAAGGACAAGGTTCTGCTCGATCCGAGTTGTTAGATACTCATTCCAGCAAGACTGGGAGGGACAAATGGAGGAGCTGCTCAGAGACAGCATGGGTGCAGCACAGAGAAAGGCGCCCTGGTAACTAACCTAGCATCCCACCTCACCCCTCCCCAACGATGTGGAAGGCCGGAGACAAGCTCGCTTTTAGATCAGCCTCAAAGCTGACCCTAATGTTTCCAGCTTCTGTGGGTTTCACTGAGATTGGCCCAATTTACAGTTGTCTTTGAGGATGTGTGGGCTGGGGTACTCGCCTAACTACTGTTGGGAGGGATACTGGGGAATGGGTAAAGAGAATCGAGAAAAAGGAGAAGGGTTCAAGTTCTAAGAAAGATATGGAGAGAGCAGGAAGGGCAGAGAGAAAGGAGGCCTGGGGAACGGGGCTGCCTTTTCTCCCCTGGGTGGCTGCCTTCCCGACACTGCTGACACAGCTCTGGTCTCCCCTCCTAGCTCCAATGGCTTATCTACAATGATTCCGTCCTGATGCTCCCATCTCCCTAGACTCATGCCTCGAACAGACACGGCCTCTTCCCACGAACAGACTTGCCTACTGAATTCCCCAAACTCTGACCAGTGGCACCACCATCCTGCCAGTCACTAGCGTCAGAACCTTCATGGCTCTCAAATTCTTCTCTTGCTCTCACATCACTCCCCTGCCCTAAATCAGGTCATTATCCCCTCACCCCTAAACCACTGCGAGAGCCTGTCCTGATCAATGGCCTTCCTCTCCCTACGCCATCCATCTGGTATAAGCACGAGCAGCGGCCTAAGCCTCCCAAAATACTCCATTAACCACCCCCGCCCCGTGTGCTGCCTATGACGAGCTTTCCAAAATGATGGCTCTAAGCCCCCTGAGACTAGCTGTGTCAGTGGTATCAAAGCTGCGGGATGATGTGAAGCACCTAACTGGACCATTTTTACTCAAAGCAAAGTACCAAACCAAACCCTTTTTATATTGAAACAAACCCAGACAAATTGGTGATTTGATATGTAAACTTCCTGCATTTTTGAGATAAAACAGGGAAGATTTCTCCAAATTCAGACCCCATACTTACAGGCACACAGGTGCCCCTGGGTCCCTCACAGCTGAGGAAGGGAAACACTGCCCTGTAGGATAAATATCCTTGTATCTCAGTGTGGCGACACATACCCCCTAAGGAGCCCCTTCTGCTTTTGTCACTGTTGTCTGGCCCAAGTGGAGTGCCTGCCCACTGCCAATGCTGCCTGCCATGGAGGCTCACCCTGGGGGCCCTCTCCAACTGCTCCAGAACCCCCCGTCACCCTCCTCTCACTTCTCTGGCGTTGCAGTTTGCGCCACTCAGCTGTGACTAATGCACAGGTCCCTCCGTGGCCGGGGCTTTTTCAATAGGCCTGTTTTTCTCAGTCTTGATTTCAGGCTCCTGTCCCTACATCTCTACAGGGTGGGGTGTGCCCCAGGCTCAGCACCTTAGGCCTGCTTCTCTACCCCCAGGGTGATGCCAGCCAGGCCTCTCTACTTCCTTCCACATTCAAAATCCACTGTCCGCCTGCCAGTTGCGCACAGGTGTGATCACCGCCCCTAGTCCAAACTACCACCATCCCTTGCCGCTTTGTACAGCAGTCTCTGAATGAGTGTCCTTGCTTCCACTTTTTCTCCATCCAAGCCGTTTCTCCACATGGTGGCCTAAGTGATCTTTTAAAAAATGTATATCAGATATCATTCCCCTGCTTAAAACCCACCATGGCTTCCCATAAAACGAAATCCACTGTCTGCCAATCCCAACCCAACCTGGCCCCCGTTAATCTCCCGAACCTCCTTTCCTGCCCCGTACTGTGCTTCAGCCACCAAGCAGCTCCTCTGTGCTTGTGTTCCCCGTCTGTGACCCTCTGCCCGTGGACAGTCACTCTCAGGCCTTCCCTGACCTCCCCAATTGAAAGTACAAGTCCCTCAGTCCCACTCTTAACCTTTATCACTTCCTATGACATTACCCAATTGTATTTTCTTCCCTGCATTTTTTATCATAAAAGCGTGGAGGGCGGGCCCTGGGGTGAGACTGCCAAAATTCAAATCCTGACTTTGGGCAAATTACCCCCAAGTGTCTCCACCTGTCATCTATAAAATGAGAATAAAAATACCTACCTTATAGAACTATTGTGAGAAGCAAAATAATGCACATAAACAGCACAATGCCTGGCCCAGAGTGAGCCCCATAAACGTTAGCTGCTGTTATTATTAACTCTCTGGTCATTTCTTGCTTGGACTTTTTTCACTCCCTCATCCAGCACCCAGTGCTATGCATAGTAGGTCAGTGAGAAATATTAGTTGAATGAAGAAAGGAAAGGGAAAAGGAAATGAGAACCTGGGGGACGGGAGCATAAGCAGCTATGTGAGAGGAGTAACTATAACAGGAGCACAGCAAGAGGGAAGGAGAAGAGAGTGCACATACACACGCACACGCAAATGCACCTGTCCCAGATCACCCACCACGGGGGACACGCTGTTGGGAGAGGCAGCTAGAATTCATGGCAACAAGGAGCGCTCCTCCTGCTAAGATGATGTGTCTGGGCTTGGCACCAGTTCTAAAGAGCAGGGAACACCACACTCAGCACTCCAGGCTCTCTGCACCTCACCCCCCGACTCCCTGCCTTTGAAGATGACCCACTCCCCATCTACAACCTTCTCTGCATCCACTGTACAGACACAAGCCTAACTCCCCATAACTCCCTTCTACTTTTGTGTTATTTACTAGTCTGTACCATTTCTTTTTATTTTTGTATTAAGTGAGAGTGTATGATAAAAGAAGTGATGTTGCTCTGAGATGAGGGGACTTGAATGGGATATGGAAACCATAAACTAGAATCGACACCAATTTCATAACACTTTCTCGTTTACAAAGTGCCTTGACATATATTTTACATATATATATCAGTTCTCAAACCTGGCTGATAATTGGAATCACTTGAGGGGCTTTTAAAACTCCAGATGCCTGGGTTTCGCCTTCAGAGATTCTGATTTAACTGGTCTAAGGTAAAGACTGAGCATGAAAACTTATAAAAGCTCCTGGTGCCTATAATATACAGCAGAGTTTAAGAACTGCTGATATGTATCACTGGATCCTAACACCCACCCTTCAAAGCGTCAAGGCAGGTGGCACCACTTACAGATGACAAAACTAGTTTAAGAGGGACTAAGACTTATCCAACACTGCTAGGTCAGGCTAGAACCCAAGAGTTCCCAAGGAATTGCATCAGGGTGGAAAGCCAGGGCAGGAGAGAAGCTGGCAGAACCTCACCTTACAACAGAAGTGCATGCAGCAGAGCGACGGCAAGTCGTCATCGGGCTCCAGGGGGCTGACACAGACAGGGCAGTGGTCGGGGCGTGTCGGGGTAGCCTGGGCCTGAGGCACGCACAGCCCAGCTGCCAGCAGTAGAGGCTCAGGGTCATCGCTGTAGCTCTGCAGCAGCTGTTCGGCACCCCAGTGGGAATGAGCCAAAAGGTGCTGAGCCACATCTGCCTCTAAGTTCAGCATCTCCTGCACCTGCCGCACCGTCTGTTCCATCAACCCTTCTACCTCCTGGGGGCTCATGGTGCGGCTTGCAGGCAGCTGCAGAGATGCCAGGGCAGCCACAGCTTCTGGGCTTGTGGGAGAGAGAAGAGACAGCAATCAGTATCTCTGCCATGCTTGTCCAGCCTACTAACAGGCCCCCACCTGGCCCCCAGCTCCCTCCTTGTGCACCCTTGCTCGCACCTGCCTAACCATCCTGAGGATAACCACCCAGACCAATTGTCAGAGCATGGTCCTCCACAGAAGCATTTGCAAACGTGAGGGTGTGGCTGGCTGCTGCAATGACTGGGAGCATTAAAGGTATCTAGCAGGCAGGGGTCAAGGTGCTAAGTGACCTATAGTGGATGCGATGGTCCCACCTCAAACGATAGCAGCACCTCTGGTGAGAAACGGTAGTCTACATCCTTCCTGCTCAAAGTGTGGCCTGTGCGTCAGCAGCAAAGTATCACTGAGAGCTCTACTGAATCAGGATCTGCATTTTAACACCATGCTGAGGTGATACGTATGCATGTTGAGGTTTGAGAAAGATTACTCTAGAGAATACACTTTATACATGATGCAAATAGCAGGCGTGAAAAGTAGTACCATAACAGCTTCCAATGAACTGGATCTCACATTTAAACCTTTAGCGGTGCCAGCTAATTAGGGAAATCCTATAGCAAACTCCTCTGTAGGACAAACTTCTTGAAAGTTTATATATTTCACTGAGCAGAGTGCATAGTTATTAGCACTCAATACATATTTGCAGAATATTTCATATTTGCTTAGAATTACAGACATCTCTAAAGGAGTTGAAATATCTGGGTCCCCTGCCTAAGAGCTGGCCCTGGTAGGTGGGGACAGCCAGGCACCTGACTGGCAAGGAAGGGATGGGGTGGTGGTGCTGGGAGGAGGAATGAGGACTAGCAAATTGGGGGAAATAACACAGATAGGGAAAATGGGATTAGACAAAGAAAGAAAGGAAGTGTTTTTTCACAAGGGATGCTGGCTTTGGCACCATAACCCCTCCCACCTCACTGCAAGGGGACAGTGGTAGGGTGGCTACCTAGGCTTGGAGGTCTTGGTGTTCTGGTTGCCACAGAAAGGGACGTCCGCCTGGCCCCGGTAGGGCCCCATGGGCTCTGGAGTAGCATACATCAGGATCTGGGGCCGGTCATCACGCCGTTTCACGTAGCCCTGGCCCAGGAGGTGCAGGATGCAAGAGAGGACATCTGTACTGGTACAGGCCACGCCCCCAGCAACAGCACGGCCCAGGCTTCCAGGGGGATTTGGACCCTTCTGCCAGGCCTCCAGCACCTGGACGGGAGGAAAGAAATGAGCAGGCCACTTTTACCTAGGGAAGCCAGCCTGCCTGAGTTCAATGCCTGGCTCCGCTACTTACTAGCTGTGTGACTGTGGATTAGTTACTAACTTTCTCATGCCTCACTTTTCTAATCTGTCAAATGGGATAAAATGATAATACTTAGTGGACTACTGTGAGGATTACATGATTTAATCATGCAAACTCTTAGAATGGGGCCTCGCATGTGGTAAATACTCATGTCTTCTCTCTACCTTCTAACTGTCCTGTCAGGAACAGAAAACCCAGATGGAAATGTCACCCCACAGAGGTCTCGTATTAAGGGAGTTTACCTTCCCTTATGATGACTTCTGGGTCCAACCCCCAGCCCCAAGCATGACTCCCTCACACCCCCAACTTCATGGTCCCCCTCTGCCTACCAGACAAACCAGCTGATCAATGTGGAGGCCTTTCTCCCCATGGGCTTTGAGAATACGAACAAGAAGACAGCTCAAGAGGTTCCTCTTCTGTTCCAGGGTTCGGCCCTCATCCTTCTCCACGTTCAGGTACGTCTGGGGAGGTATCAGCCACAGGGCCTCCCCACTGGGCTGGGGCCCAGACTCACGAACCCGCAGCATACCTGGAACCCACTCTCAGTCACTTTCCCGAGGAGGGGAGGGGCAGATGAATGGGGACTATGAGGACCCCATTCTCCTTCCCTACTGCAGTTCCCCTACCCTGAGGGCCTCCTCCCATCAGCAGCCCAGCCTCCATTGACCTACCCCCATGTGGAAAATCCTGACCCTCACACGTGGCTAGAGGGCCATTCTCTGAGGTGAGGGGCAGGAGTGCCTGGAGCAGCAGCTCTGGGGAGAGGTCGGAATTCTTCAGCAAGGTCTCTACTGACACCTCCTGGTGAGGAGAAAAAGGCCCAATCAGGAGTTAAGGAAAAGGAAAGTAAGAGAGGAGGAAGGATGGAAGAGGAACAGTTTAGCAGGAGAACAGTGACAAACAAGGCGGCAGAGAAGTCAGAGAGACACTAAGGAGCTCAGGTACCTCTATCTGATTGAAATTCAACAGCAGCCACATCTGCACGGTGGACACGTGCAGGGTCTGGTCCCCAAACTGCAGCTCAGCCCGGCCCAGCCATGTCCACTGCAGTCGCCGATGTGGCCCCACGTCCAGGACTGGATGGTTCTGACCTAGGAAGGTGTCAAGGAGAAGGATGAAGACAAAGAGCAGGGGCAACGAGGGGCTTAGGGGTTGAGGCATCAAGCTTTGCTCCTGCTAGTCCCTGCAGGGACGAGGGGCCCAGCATTTCCAGAGAGGTATCTTATCAACTTTCTAGATCTCAGCCTTCTCTGTGCCTGCCTACCTGACAAGCCATAGGTATCTAAGAGCCCACCCTGTGCCAGGCAGGTTCTATGGAACAAACGCTAGAAAGTGGAGACCTGCATTTTGCCCTCAAGGAGCTCACAGTTTTAAAGACCTACGAGGCTAGGTCTCCTCCTCCTCCTGTGTCACAGCTCAGGCAAGGAGAGCCTGGGACATTTGTTCATACCAGAAAGCAAGGTAGCTGTCAAAGGGACAGAGTATTCAAAAGGATCAGGAGCCAACCTGAGAGATGCTGGCTGGCCAAAAATGGGACAGTTTAAGCATCAAAAAAATAACACCTGCAATGTGTGATGGAAACGCACAATATTTAAAAATCTATGAGTTTGTAATGATATTTTTTAAAAAGACCTCATTGGTCATATTTAGAGGATACTAGGGAACCAATATATTATTTTAAAAATTAGTTATTTAATAAAAATAATGAGAAGAAGAAAGAATCAAGGCTTTCTTGTATAAACTGTACTTCAGAGTGGGAGAAAGTTTCTCTTTATAAAACAAGCACTCTAGCCAATACATGAAGAAGGAATGACAAAACTAGAATATCACTGTTTCATAACTTCTAATGAAATGACAGACCTAAGCAATGACAATGACTGACCGACTGCCTAGTGAAAAGCTGATGGAAAATTACACATAATGTGCAGATGAGACTGACAACACTGAAACCCATGATCCATCTCAACATCACAAAGAGAGACAGCTAGTCGGGACCTGCCTCCTGGTGGAAGGACACATACCACTGATGAAGCACTCTTGCCCAAGAAATCAAAGCCAAATCTGAATAAGCCTCTGCATATAAATATCAGTTTTCCAGAAATAAAGGTAACAGAGGAACATGCTAAAGGACACCATGTGGAATACAATCAGCAAAATCCAGCCTGAGAAAACTCTATTTGGCAAGTAATTAATTGCATGGGGGAAAAAATAGAGGTGGGAATTTATAGATTAAGGGAGATGTAAGAGATAACTCAACCAAATGCAAAGTCTGGGCCTTGTTTAGATCCTCATGAAACAAAATTACAGAAAAGAACTCAAAATAATCAGGGAGATAGGAACACGGACTGTATACTTGAGGATTATGAGGGATTATGAATTTCTTAAGGTTTGATAACTATAGTGGCCTTTTTTTTTTATAGGGTCCTTATCTTTTAGGCTTGGGTGTGGGGGTATAAAGTGGTGGGGGTATAGATTGAAACAAGATTGGCTATGAGTTGATCTATGTTGGCATTTATCTGTTCTGTCTGCATTTGTATATGTTTGAAATTTACAATAAAAATTTTTTTTAAATGAGGCTGAAAATAAACTAGTCTCATAAAACTAGTAAGGTTTCCCACCAATACTCCCTCAATGAAGAAACTTCTAATTGACGTACTTTAAAAAGAAGAAAACTGAAATCAGAAGGATCAAGACGTAAAAGGACTGGTGACTAAAGCACTTGGTATGATGGTAAATGTCAATATCCACTGACTAAAACAATCATAATACTGACAAAGTTGGGAGGTAAAAAAAAAAAAGAGAATTCTAAAATGCTGAACAACAGTAATAAGTAAGATGGGAGTTAGAGCTGGAGTAAAGATTTTCTAAGGTCCTTTTATTGTTCAGAAAGGTGGGATGTGGTATTAACAGATCAATCATACAGGTTAAAAATATAAGTGTAATCAACTATAGAAATATAATGCGTAACTTCTAAAACTGACAAAAAAGGATTTCTTTTTTAAAAAATCAAGCAATCCAAAAGAAAAAAGAAAAAAAAAAACAACACAAAAACCAGGGCAAAATCATATGGTATAAAGGTATTCAATTTATTCTTCTTTAAATATAAGAAGGGTAAACAAAAACATAAAATAAGTTAAAAATAAAAGCCAAACACATCATTATTGATAATAAAGAGGGTAAAACTGACAACTCAAAAAGAGAGATTGTCAGGTTGAACAAAAAAATAATTGTAGGTATTTTTGAGACACATGCCTAAAACATAAGGGTATGGCAAAGTTAAAAGTAAAACGATACTAGAGGAAATTCTGATGAAAGTAGAATATTGGCATTGTTTTAAAGTATCTCCTCCCACAGATTGCTTATTAATAGTAACAAGGGAAAAGATATTAACTATACATTGGAGAGATCAAACAACTTCTTGGCCAGGATGTCCAAATTAACATCACAAACAAGGGGTGAATGAAAATTGTGTGCTTCAGAATGTAATACCTTAAGAAGTATTAATATATAATGTCACTTATTTAGTATCCTGCGTGGGAATGCAAAACCTGAATCTAATCATGAGGAAATATCATACACACTTAAGATGAGGAATTATTTTAAAAATTTAAAAGAACTGTATTCTCCAAAAATGTCCACGTCATAAAAAACAAAAAAGGCTGAGTAATGGTTCCATATTAAAGAAGACCAAAGAGACTTACCAACTAAATACAACAGGTGGCCCTAGACTAGATCCTGTCCTAGAAGTCATAGAAGACATTATAGGTCAACAGACAAAATGAAAATATAGAAAGTAGATTAAGGTACTGTGTATACCAACATTAAATTTTTTTAATTGATAAATGATCTATGGTTATATAAGAAAATACCTTTATTCTTAGGCAATATGTACTAAAGTATTTAGGGGCAAAGGCCCAGCATATTGCAATTTATTCTCAATGGTTCAGAAAAATAAAGTATCTATATAGATACACATATATACATACATCTATACACAAATGTATACATATACAAAGAGCAAATAAAAAAAGCAAATGTTAACAAAAGGTAAACCTGGATAAAGAGTATGTGGGTATTATTTGTATTATTCTTATAATTTTTCCATAGATTTGAAATTATTTCCAAATGAAAATGTTTTAAAGTAAAAAGATAATTAAATGGTATACTTAAAATGGCAAACGTTATGTTAGACATATTTTATCACAATAAAAAAGAGACCTAAAAGATTGAAAACTTCTCTCAGTACAAAAGCAAAAAAGTATTGAAAAAAATATGCCAGAAAGATACTAACCAAAGAAAGCTGGTATACTATTAATACCAGAGAAAAATACACTTTAAGAGAAAAAGCTTTATTAGAAAGACAGTAACTTCATAATAATAAAAAGGTTGAATTTATCATGAAGTTTCTATGCCTGCATCGTCCGTTATGGTAGCCACTAGGCGCATGAACTATTTACATTTAAACTAGTTAAAATTAAATAAAATTAAATATTCCTGAGTTGCATTAGCCACACTTCAAGTACTTAATAGGCAGGAATGGCTATCATATTGAACAGTGCAGAAAAGAACTTTTCTACCACTGCAGAAAGTTCTCCTGGATGGCACTGTTAAATAATTGTACACTTGTATCTAATAACATAGGCAAAAACTATACATAAAGTTGACATGATTAGCAGTTTAAAAGTTCACTATCATAATGGTGGATTTTAGCACACCTCTTTCAGTAGTAGATCAAGTAGATAAAAATTAGTAAGGTTACAGAAGATGTGAACAATACAATTAACCCAAGGTCAATTTACTGAAATATGTAGAATCTTGTATCTAATGGCTGAAGAATACACATTCTTCTTAATCACACATGAAACATAAAATATGACCATCTACTAGGCAGGCCATAAAGGAAGTCTCAGTAAATTGCAAAGATTCAGAATCATAGAAACTATGTTCTTTGGCTACAGGGGAATGAAGGTAGAAATCTAAAATAAAAAAATAACTAACCAAAAAAAATTATTTGAAAATTTAAAAGTATAATTCTAAAACACCAAAGAAGAAATAATAATGGAAATTAGAAAATTCTTAGAACTAAACAATAAAAATACTACATGAAAAAAATTACAGAACATCCCAAATGTCCATCAACAGCAGAAAGGGTAAATATATTCATACAATGGAATATGACTCAGCAATGCAAAAGAACAAACTAATGATACAACTGACAACCAAGATAACTCCCACAGACATTATGTTGCATGAAAGAAATCAGATACAGCATAATACTCTATGATTCCATTTATACGATATTCAAATATAGGCAAAAATCTATGGTGACAAAGTGAAAAATAATGGTTTCTTTTGGAAGAAGACCCTGTCTGGGAAGGGGACATGAAGGAGGAAGTCATCTAGGGTACTGAAAATGTTCTGCATCTTGATCTGGGTGGTGGGTATGTGGATGTATATGGAAATAATTCATTAAGCCTTATAATTAAGATTTGTGCACTTTTCTGAATACTAGTTATACCCCAATAAAAAATTATAAAAAAAAACACTTTATAGGATGCAACTAAAGTAATATTGAAAGGGAAATGAACAGCCTTAAATACTTGTATTTCAAAAGAGGTCTGAAAAGACTAAAAATTAAGTAAGCAACTAACTTGAAGTTAGAAAAAGAACAAATTCATAGAAAGTTGAAAGACCCGTAAGAGCAGAAACTAATGAAACTAAAACCCACACTTTTTCACCCTTCCCTAGGAGACTTACATTTTTCTTATCTACACACTCCTATCCAAAGGTCCTTTCCTTTTCCTCTCTTGCCACCCCAAATCTCACCCCAATCTCCAATTTCCTCTCCCTAGCTCCTCACTCTGGCTGTAGAAACTGGAGAAACGGTCAAGGGCATCACAGAATTCTGTGGGAAGGCACTTTCTGGGATGGTACAGGTAGCAGAGCGGGGACACTGGCCAGCAACGTGGTGACAGGACCAGTATAGACACTGTTGGACTTGGATCTTCGATAAACAGTTCTTTCTCAGCTTCCTCTTCCTCTTCTTCCTCCTGAGGGATAGAAGCATTTCAAGGGCCCTTGGGCTCCCTTTCTTTGGTCTAGGCTTCTCTTACTCACCTATTTTCCCACTCTTTCCCCTTGCTCTTACCTCCTCTTCCTCCAGTCCCTTTTCCTCCTCGTCCTCCTGCTCCAAGAACAACTTATCAAGCTGCTGGAGCTGGAAGAGGTGGAACTGGCGCTGCAACTCCTCCGAGGTGCTCAGGCTCTGCAACATCAGCTGGGGCAGGCGGTTGGGGAAGCAGAGGCCAATCTGCTCCAGCACAGCCCCCTCCAGCCAGCTGGAGCCCAAGCTCAGAAGACGGTCTGCCATGTAGTGCCTGCAACACACACAGCCCAGGCCAAGTCTCAGTGTGGGTGCTGGTGTGGTTCAGCTTCCTGCTCCAGAATGTAGGTCCCTCAGATGCAGCCTGGCTGAGTCACAGGCCCTACCTCGCCTCTTCCTTTCCACTCTCTTTCCACCAGTACATGGCCATCTCCATATCTCAATCTCTCCTCCCACTGCCTCTTACCTTATCTTCCCTCTAAGACTCAAATCTTCCCTTTCTCTTTAGGCCTCCCATCCCCTACCTCTCCAGACCTGCACTCACTGGTAGAAGTGCTCAAAAGTTGTGGCCAGCTCCAGGCCAGAAAGGACCATGATGGGTTCCAGGTGCCGCTGAAGCCGCCCCAGCATTTCCATTCCAGGGGCTCCACCAGTCAGGCCCCCCTGGATCTGCTGGTCAATGTGCCTGGCAAACTGCTCACTCATCTGGGGCAATGGAAAGGGTACGGGCAAACCATGAACAAGGGCGTAGAGTAGGAGACTGGGGAGTGAAAGGAGATAAAAGGGCAGAGCACAGAGAGATGAACACGGAACACGAGCTTACAGCCCCGTGCACTGGGAGGCTGGCGGGACTCACGTGAGCAGCGGTGAGGAAGGACTGCTGCAGCAAGGCGCCAGAGAAGCCACTGCGCAGAGCCAGTGTGAAGGCTGCCCGAGGCCCGAACAGCTCTGAGCCTGCTCTCTGCAAGTGTTCATAGAGTTTACAGTAACGAGGCACAAAGTCTGGGGCCCTCCAGGCTGCAGCCAGGAATCTGTTGACCTGAGGAGAAAAAGGAAGAAGTAACATACAAGGAGCAGCCCCTCTCCTCAGACTTCAGCTTACTTCTGCCCACCTGCTCTTGCACCACACTCAGCCAGCACTGGGTTATGTTCCTTAGGCTGCTGCTTGGAAGAGCTGGTGAAGGCGCAAGGCTCCGATCCCGACCCTTGCTGTTCCTGCTGACTGTGGAGACAGAGGGCAAAGGAAGGAGTTTCATCTTAGCCTCTGGGTGAATCCCCGGTTCTTGGGTACTGATCCCTTTGAAAGGCCTGGAGGTGCCAGGGGCCTGGAATGGCCCAGAACAGAGCAGTAAGGACAGTAAAATCCAAGGAGGAAGAAGGAGCCAGATATCACCACTGCCCAGAGTCTTAGCTCAAGTGGCCACAACTGCAACTGCGACTTACAGGGCCGAGTGGATGGCTCAGGAGAAGGCCCAGGAGGATGCTCCACATGCACCAGTAAGTGGCAAAGGCGACGAACTCGAGAAGCAAAGGATGCTGCTCGACTCAAGGGTTTCTGGGAGCTCTCTTGTTGTTCTAAGTATTGATCCAGCAGCCATCCCAGGGCACTCACACCTTCTGCACCTGAAAGAAGACAGGTCAGGAACAGTCTCCCTGGGAAATGGGGGAACAGATGGCCCAGGGCGGAGGAGGGAGAAAGAGCAATCGTACAAAAAGGTTTGGGGGCAGCAGGGCCCTAAGTCCTCCCCTCACCAAGGTTTGCTTCAGCTGGAGTCTGGGGATATGGTAACAGGGTGAGGTGGCAGGAAAGATTCAAATACCAGAGTCTCAGGGAGCAGTCCCTGGGGCAGGAAGGAGAGAGGAACATTGAGGAGACAAGCCTTCAGGGATAAAGACAGGAACCAAGAGAACCAAGAGCATTAACTCAGGTGATCCCTGGGAATAATTACAAGGAGCTGGTTAGTAGGGCCAGGTGTCGGGATGGTTACCAGGGGAGGTGATGTTCTGCACCAGGGGGCTGACCAGGGCCTCCCAGCAGGTCTTGCCCAATGCTTGGGCGGCCTCGTCATCAGGGAGGAAGCGATCAGCAAAATTCTGTTCATGGCGCAAAACCCTGTTCAGTCTGGAATCAAATAGTGTATGGTTACCAATTAAAGGCACAGATTTCCCTGAGGCTCCACTCAAGTGCAAATCAACTCCCCATCACCCCATGCTTGACCCCTTACCCAAGTCTCCCCTATCAGCACATACTTCTCACCTACGTTCACTTTCCCCTCATGTCCTGGCCGCAGCTTTACCTTTCAGATTCCCACAGAAGCATGTCTCCTACCACCTACTTCTTACAGTGTTCTGTTTCCTTAACCACCTTTCCTCCTGTGCTCCACCCACCTGGGACAGAGCTGGAGGAGGCGCTTGCGGTCCTCTGCTATGTCCCGGCTCCAGGCTTGTGCCCGAATTGTGTAGAAGAGACATGTACGGCGACATAGCTGCTCCCGAAATAGTGGCCAAAAAGTGGGCTTGGGGCCCAGGACCTCCACACCCCGAACCCGGGTGTCGATGCCACCCTGCAACACATGCACAGACTTATCTATCACCTAAGTCACCTGAACCACTAAGTACTACCAAAGCCAGACCTCATACCCTGAGTTCCCTAGAGCTGCTTGGGACATCCCCACATCTTTGGAACTCAACAGGTTTCTGGGCCACCTCCCAAGCAGACCAAGGAGAAACCTTGCCTAAAACCCTGTTCCCCAAATGTTAGAGAAGCCAGCTACTACAGAGACCTTGCACTATCACCTAATCCTCAGCCCCCAGCTTCTTCCCCGGCCCCACCTGCTGGCAGCGCTTTATGCGGATCTGGATGATGGGCCAGAAGCGGTTCAGGTTCTCCAGGAGGATCACCCGGCTGGCGGAGGGCATCACATTCACCTGGCAGGGGAGAAGAGGGAAAGAGAGAGCTGTCACCTCCAGAAGTGGAGCTGGAAGGACTGTTAACAACCAAGTCAGTTATGGTGTGTGCCCTTCACTTTTCCTGCACCGAGCCCAGGGATCTACATGGCTCCACATCCCTAATTCCGTTCTTGCTGCTTACAAGGTGATGCCTCCCAGAAGGAAGGGATGTGGCCATTCCCCGGGGACTGGGTCCTTCCCATAGGCCCTGGGACAAACAGAAGGATGAGGAGTAAGGTGAAGAGGGGCACAAGGGTCCCCACCGTGCTGAGTTCAGTGCTGATGCAGCTGGCGCTGTGACCCCCAAACACCACCACCCTGGCTGGCATATAACTTGAGTCCTCACTGGCCACCAACAGAGTGAGCTGCCTAGGAGAGGAGAAAGGAAACAGTCAAAGCCTGGGCCCTGGTCTTAATTCAAAACTACTTTAACCTGGCCGGCGCAGTGGCTCACGCCTATAATCCCAGCACTTTCAGAGGCTGAGGAGGGAGGATCACTTGAGCCCAGGAGTTCAACACCAGCCTGGACAACATGGCGAGACCCTATCTCTACAAAAAATAATAAAAGTTAGCTGGGTGTGGTGGCAAGTGCCTGTAGTCCCAGCTACTTGGGAGGCTGAGGCAGGAGGATTGCTTGAGCCCAGGAGTTTGAGGTTGCTGTGAGCTATGATGACACGACTGCACTTCAGCCTGGGCAACAGAGCAAGACCCTGTCTCAAAAAAACCCAAACCCAAACAAAACAAAACCAACCAAAAAAACTACTTCAACCCACCACTTTCTTCTCAGGCTCTTATTCCTCTGCTGGTTCCTGACACATCTGCCTTCCCCAGACCCTTTGCTCTTCCCTTTATATTCCTCCAAAGTGACTTCATTTAAACCACAGCTTCAACCAAAAATTAATATATAAATGACTCCAAATCCACACCTCTACCCAGACTGCTCTCCTGAACTTTCATGGTGTGTACCCAACAGACATTTCCATGTCATGTCGCACAGGCACCTCAAAGCCCACATGCCCAAATAAAACAACCACCTGTCCATACAAACCTGCCTGCCTTCCTATTTCTCTCCTGGAAAATAAGACTAGAACACACTGTCACTGTGGATTTCTCCCTCTCAGTGGCATCCCTCATCTAGTCAACGGCAAGTCCCGTAGACCCCACCTCCTAGTATTTCCCAGTCCATTCCCTCCCCTTCATCTTCCCCCACCTCACTGAATACATTGATCGTTTCTCAACTACACCACTGAATAAACCTTCCACCTCTTTCTGCTGGCCTTCAACCCAAACTCCCATAATTGCCAGAGTAACCTTTCCTTAAAAATCTAGTTTTGACTCTTCTCTTCTTAAAATCCTTCAATGGCTCTCCAAGTTTTGGAATAAAGTTCAAACTTCTTAGCTTGCAAAACTCTTTGTGATCTGCCCCTTTGATACACACACCATTCTAGCCAAACACAATTACTTAAAGTTCCCCCAAATACAACATTTTGTTCCTATTTTGCATATATACTATCCTTGTGCCTGGAATATCCACTGCCTCCTCTTTATCTAGCTAATTTCAACTTCAAAATTCAGCTCAAACCCCCCTTTCAGAAGGGAGCCTGCTCTGAGCCCATAGTCAGCCTCAGGATCCAGGGCACACGTCAACCACGTTTTTTCTTACTCTGTGCTCTTACTGATTTTCCAGCCTGGCTCCCCAGCTAGACTGCAAGATCCCTGAACACAGGCACCATCTTACTGTCCATGTATCTCCAGACCTTTGCACAGTCCTGGCACAAATGCCCACAGCAGAAGTGGATAAGTGAGTTGATTTCCCTCAACACTAAGCACTGAGTAGTGACATCTGTACCTGCTGGGGTACAGGTCACCAGGCTCAGGGAGTGAGGGGATGTCTATACTCAGCACAGTGAAGCGTGTTTATCTGTTTACTGCACAAAATGGGTTTGAGTATGTCCCTCGGGCATGGGGGTTACAGATGGGGTTGTGTGTACATGGGTGCTTTGGGATATATATTGGAGAATACCAGAATGTGTGTGTGCACGCGCACATAAGCACACACACGGGTGTGTGCACACCTAACAAGAACACCACGGTGCATGTGCAAGGTGATGTAGTGGGAGCCAGTGCTGCCGTTGGACTCCCAGTACGTCTTGGGGTTGCGGTCCGTCAGCTTGCTGGCCCGGTGTGGGTTGGAGGACACCTCCACCTTCTCCCAGCACTTGTCCTCCTTCACTTCCACACTGGAGCCTGGGGGCAATTGGGAAGGGGTGGAGGTCACGGCCTGGTTAGTTGAGAGAGAAAAAGGGGAAAGAGACTAGGGAGCGGGAAGGGAAGAGGAGAACGGCTGCTGGATGGGAGCCAGGGGAAGACAGATGCAGGCACTAACCCTGGCAGAGATGCCTGAGGAACACGTCAAAGAAGGGGATGTTGATGGGTTGGTGGGTTCGTCTGTGGTCTTCGATCTGGCCCAGCACCATCTGCAGCCAGAACATCAGAAAGAAGAGGGAAGGGGAGAGGGAGGAATAGGGAGAAATACCCAGGAACAGGTACAAAGCAAAAGTCAAGGGGCAGAGAACACTCAACCCCTTTCTCCTCCAATTTTGACAGGACCATGTGGAATAAAGGTAAGGGAACAAGTGCCCCAGATGTGCTACCACCTGTGCCAAACAGGGATGCCAAAGAGAGACAAACACTGAATCCCCTTCCCCTGCTTCTGACATTCTCTCAGCTCCAGACTCACAAGCGCCTCCTCACCTGGATGCAGCCAGCTAGGATGCTGGAGGTAAGTTTGCTATAGAGCTGTGCATGTTTCTCACACTCTGTCACCAGGTCTCGAAGCTCACAGCCCAGCAGCAGCTGAGCCGAGTGCTTGTCCAGGACTTTGGAGAGGGCTTCTTTTGCTCCCAGGGAGCAGAGCACCACGGCGTAGTCCTTATGCATGGAGGCCAGGCGATGCAGGAAGCAGGTCAGCTCCTGAACAATCTGAGCCCAGAGCCAATAGATTAATTTAAGAGAAACAAAGGGCAGGGTACGTTAGCATTGAGAGATGGGTTCACTAAAACAAGTGTAGTGGCTAAGGTTTTGGAGAAATGCAAAAGCCCAGGGAAAGGAGAGTACCAAAGAGAGGGTGGAACAGAATACAGGGGTGCTAGGACGTTAGAGTAGCAGAGCTTAGATACAGCTTCCCAGGCTTCTTCCTGCCAGGGCCAAGTTATCTCAAGAGTCAACCTTGGTGCTTGAGCCTCACTCTACAAAAACCCTGGAGGATAGACAGCAAGGACTGTTTGGATTGGTGAATGTGGGTTTCTCTTAAACTCAGAAACTAAAATCCAGATGCAGCCAAAAGGTTTATACTATAAAGACCCCAGTTTTAGAGCCTCTTGGATGATGTTACATTCCTCTTCCTATCTACCCATCCCAGTGCCCCCAGCCCCATTCGTAAAGGCTCTGCTGGGCCCCCCAGAGCCTCACAATGTAGCTTGTGCACCAGATGCTGCCTTTCCCTCCCCTCCCCTTGCCAGGGATCTGGTACCTCAGAATCACTGCTAGGGCCACTCAGGCAGTTGAGGCAGGGCTCCAGGACCTCATGCCAGGGGAGGACCGTTGCCTCAGGGTAATCCAGCAGTCGAATCATGACCCTGGTAAGGGGATGGAAACAAGTGTAGCCCCTGAAGTCTGGCAGCTCCCCTCCCCAAAAACGCATGGGTGTCTGAACAGGCCCCTCACCTCAGCACAGTCAGCAGCAGAGTTTTGTTGGGCCCCGGGGCATCCAGAGTCCGCAGCAAGAGGAGAAAGGGCTGGGTCTCCTGCTGGAGGCGCTTGAGAAGGGGCCTCACCGCACCCGCTGGGCTGCCCTCCCGGCACAGCATGCGCTCCAAGTCCAAGAGTAGTTCTGCAGATGGGCCCCCCACCAGGGATCGAATCAGTAGCTCAGGGGACCCATCCTGGCCCTGGGCGCTGGGGGTCTCCAGTGCTGTAGCCCAGACACAACGGAGGGAAAAAATGTGTGTAAGGAGAAGTCTTACTAGTTAGTCAAACCAAGAAATGGGAAGGTCCAGAAAATCACCCCAACTTTTCCTCCCATATTAAGGATGTCTACGGTTTTTGTCAAACTCTAAGAGATTTTCTTTTCTGGCCCCAAATATATACTTAACTACATTTTTTAAAAATCTAGTATAGCAAACATTGGCAAGTTAAACATATTTTCAATCTCATATAATGACATGATTACCTTTTATTACTAAATGTTAGCTATGATAAATATTAGCATTATAATTACTTCCTTATACTACCTGCATGGTGGATTTAGATATTAATATAAAGATGAGAAGATACATATTGCCTGTTTCAATATCCCTTGTACTTCTGGATTTTCACTTGTTTTTTAATCACAAAGCATTTTCTTCCCCATGACATCAGTATTTCATGTTTCTAGTCACAAACTTTAAAACCATAAATTACAATTCCTCTTAAGAAGGCCTTTCTAGATGTGATTTCAACCAATCTTCTACTGTCCGATGAGAGTGAACCAAACCTAGTCCAGACAAGACAGTAATCCACGTATGTTTAAAGCCATTCAGAGAAGGCAACTTCCTTGTACCTAGTCTAGAGTCTCCCTGTCCTCTTGGTCAGGAAGTTCCACATATGACTTAACTTGAACACTACAATGCTCACTCATTTCCTGAAAATTCCTTGTGTCTTTCAGTAAGAAGCTGGTGTGTAAACCTTAGCCTTCTCGGCCACAGGCTGGCATTGTATGATTCCTCAGCAGAACTGCCCCCCTCCACAATGGTACCTGCATGCTCAGGACTGCCTTGTGGCTCTGAATATCGATTGAGAAGCATCATGAGGATGGTACGTGTGGTGGGCATGGGTTCTGTCCCCGGTGCTATCCCTGAGTGCCTAAATAAGGTGTCTCTCAGCTCTTGGGTTATAATCTGGTCTCCCAGAGTGTGGTGGTTGCACAAAAGCAGGTTGAGTAGGAGCAGGCCATTTCTCACTGCGGAAGAGCACCTGGGAAGAGGGAGGTGACCCAAGAAGAAATTGACAGTGAATGCAATGGAAGCAGGGAAGCAAGTGCAGAGTGCCCTACAGTTGGGAAGGAAAGGGCTCTAGTGGTCCCTCTGAACGGGGTCACTGGCCTCCTGACCTCAGGTCACTCCTCCCAACCCTGTGAAGGAAGGTCAGTGTCTCTCTGCCCCCTCTGGGAATCTCCCTACCCCCAAGCACTTAGTTTCTCTTCCAGTGACAATCAAGAGGGCCGCCAATGTTTAATTGAGAAGTGACAATGTGAGGGGAATTTTTGTGGAGCACATGAGTCTGGGGCAGAGTAGCAGCAGGGTTTGGGACTTAGCAGGAATCTGGAGGTTGGAGGATAATGCCCTGACCCCTCAGTGTTCAGCATCAGGATCACAGCTGCAGGGACAGTAAGTAGCAGGCTCTCAGAGCCTGGGCGTGTGGCTGAGTCAATGCTGGCGAAGATCTCTCTGGTCATCTGAGCATCAAACAAAGGGTGGATAGAATCTCGACCAGTGACAAATGTGGGGATCTCCGAGGAACTGGCTATGGCCAGCATCTTCAGTGCCTGTGAAGGGGATGTGGAAGCAGAGTTAGGAATAGGAAGAGCCACCATAAGGAAGGGATAAGCCAGGGCCATCATTCTAGACATCAAACTTTGGGGCAGCTCAGTACAGGTAGAGGAGGCAGAAATGGAAGAGGTAGTGATAGCACATCAAATGCTAGAAAGGGAGGGAAGGAGGGAGGAAAAGAAGAGAGAAGAGAGAGCAAACAAAAAACCCCCCTAAGACTAGATAGTAAAATTAGCCTGCCACTTCCCTCCATCCCCAAGCTCCCAGCACCAAGCGTACCTAAGTGGGATGGCCACCCCGCCTGTATCTTCCCCTGAGGATGACACCCTCTCACAGTGTCTAGTTGTCATTAGAGACTTTCCTTGATGTCGTCTCCCATTTCGCTTAACCGCTCCTTCCTTTGCAAAGCCTGTCTTCCCTTGAGTTCTACAACTTTATGTCCTCCTGGTTTTCCTCCTACCTGTCTGGTGTTCTTTGCCTGGTCCACAAACATGAGGTTCCTTGTCCCCTTTCTCTTCACACCCTGTGCTCCCCTACCCAGGCAACCCTGTCCATTCCCACAGCTCCAATTCCTACCCATATGCCAACTCTCCCAAACCTGCGTCCCCTGGCCTCAGCCAGTATCCAGTCCTTCTCAACAAGGCTACCTGGTCATCTCACAGGCAGAGTGGTTGAAATTATAGGAAAAATACTTATAATGTGAAAACATGTTTGCCAGTACTATAGAGAAAAAATAAATTAAAATGAACACTAAACCATCAGAGTGGAGAATGTCTCTCCTGGTCAAAGGGCTGACTCTCTAGAGGAAATCCATTAAGAATGGACTAGGCTAGAAATAATTCTCAGGACGAACCCCCTTATGAGGCCTGGATCCTTCAAGCAAATGCTACCTCATAACGAGGCTATCTCTCTTTGGTTTCCCACACTCCTCCAATTAGCTGAATGCTGTAGACCCTAACATTTTATTTCAGGGCAAGACTCTGAATTTAGGAGTAAATGCTTTATTTTGGTCATATAACTTAAAAGGATCAGGGAATTCTTTGAGCATACATGACCTAGACTGTGAATGCCTGAGTGCTCTGGGAAGGAGCAGCACCTAGTTGGCCCCATAAAGGAAAAGGGCCTCCTGGCCTCTCCAGGGACAGCCTGCTCTAAGTGGACATGTGCTCCCATCCATGCTGTTGTCATTAAACTGCTGGAATCTACTCTCAGAACTGCTCTGGCTGGGGCCTACCTGATCGTCTCAGGGACCCTTCGGCTATACAGAGCCATCCTGCCCACACTACCCTACCAGCCAGCTTTCTGTCTTGAGTAGGTAGGAAGTCAATTCTGGAAGTTCCCCTGGATGAAGGCCTCTCTTCCCTATTCTTTGGGCCCAGGGTGGCAGGGCAATGGCAATGCTGGCTCTGTTTTACCCAAATCTGGTAAGGGAATATTTTCTTTATAAGGGTACCACTCTGATAAAAAGAGAAAGGTATTTTTAGTTTAATTGTTACATCTATAAAATTAGTTTTTATGTTTTTTGTTTCCTCCTGAAATTTTAGAAGGAATAGAAAATTAGTTTTTAACTAGACATCTAATTGTAACTAAAGAGGCACAGGACATTCAACATACCTAAAAACTCAATTCCTGACCTTCTCCCCATACCTCCTCCTGCAACATTCTCTCACTTACTAAATGGCTACCTCATGCACCCTGCTGCTCAATTTTACACCAGGAATCATTTTTAAAAACTCCCTTCTCCCTTTCTCCAAACATGCACTCAATCCCCAAGACTTACCACATCAAACTCTTAAAGCTACCTGCATCTTTTCATCCCAAAGTCTACTCCCTGGGCTAAGTCACCACAGTATCTCCTCAAGATCAACAGTCCCCAGTCCATCACTCTCTCTTGCCAGGCCCAGTGTACTCACCGCCAGCCCTGCCTGCTGCACCAAGACGGAAGTCTTATATTCTTGCATGCAAACCAGCACAGCATAGATGCCACCCTCCCTGGCAAAGAGTGGCCGCCACTCGTGCTTGGTCATGAGCAGGTAAAGCAGGCGCAGGCCCAGCACCACCACCATCTTCTCTCCCACCTGGTTGGTCAGCAGCTCCACCAGCGTCTTCACTAGCTTCTCTCTGATAAGAGAAGAGACACTGGGACTCCCCATCCCAAGGAGTCTTGCCTGACTTCCCAGCCACAACACCATCCGACTCCCACCCTAACCCCATCCACTAAGATCCAGGCCATTCCCTCTGCACCCCCCAACCTGCTCTCCTTGCCTCAGTCTCACTCCTGATCCCCTCCCCTCTGTGGTCTTACTGGCTCCTGACCTCATGAAGGAGACAGTAGAGCAAAATGGTTATGAACTCTGGCTCATTTTTTCAAATAAATGTATAAATTCAAAGTAATTCTAATAAAAATACCTAAAATGTTTTTAAAAATACTATGACAGCCAGATTCAGGCACTGGGAGAGAAATGTTTGGAAAAAATAATGGTAGATTTGCCTATCATTATCAAAATATAAACTTATAACAATTAAAACCCTGGAACTGATATAGGATAGCCAAACAGATCAATAGATGAGAAGAGAAATAAGGGTAGTATCTCAGCCAGTGAGGAAAGGATGGACCATTTAAAACATGATGTTGACCCAGGCATGGTGGCTCATGCTTGTAATCCTAGCACTCTGGGAGGCTGAGGAGGGAGGATCACTTGAGGCCAGTAGTTCAAGACCAGCCTGAGCATGAGTGAGACCCTGTCTCTACCAAAAATAAAAAAAATTAGTCAGGCAAGGTGGTGTGCGCTTATAGTCTTGGCTACTCAGGAGGCTGAGGCAGGAGGATTGCTTGAGCCCAGGACTTAGAGGTTGCAGAGAGCTAGGATGATGCCACTGCACTCTAGCAGGAGTGACAGAGTGAGACTCTGTCTCAAAAAAATAACATAACATAAAATAAAACTTAAAAAACATGATACTGAGATACCTGGCTATGCATTTGAAAAAACTAAAATTGGAGCTCTACTTCGCACCATTTGCAAAAACAAATTGTAAATGGATTTTAAAATGAATGTAAAAGACAAAATCATAGATGGTTTTAGGAAATGAAGGGGAATATTTTCATAATCCTGGAATAGGACATACCTTTTTAAGTAGGACACAGTATCTAGAAGCCATAAAAAAGTTGAGAATATAGCAACATAACAATCTGAAACTTCTGCACAATGAAAGAGACTATAAGCAAAATTAAAAGACAAGCAATGAGCTAGAGAAATGGTCCAAGGGAAATGCTAATCTGAAAGAAGATGAAAAAGTGCCTATAGAGTCCCTATGTCACAGTGAGGGTCATGAGAGAAAGACAGCAGTAAATGACATCTTCCTTCATAGTGACAGAAATACAGGCTGAGGAGGTGGCCTGGGAACTATGGAGGGAAACAACACAAAAGAACTTCTTGGAAAGATGGCAAATAAAGGTACTGGGAAAGTTCTGTTTTTATCAGTCTTTTCTCACAAGTGTAATGATGACTACAGTGTGAATCAATTGTACTTTAAATACATATCCCCTTCTGTAGCCATGGCTTATTATAAACTAATTAATATACATTGGTAACATATGAATAGATATAAAAATATAAAGATGTTTACTGAAATGTTAACAGTGACTGTCTTTGCATAAAGGGCTTTCAGATGATTTTTATTGTCATAATTTCCTAACCTTTTTTACAGTGAACATATATTATTTTATAATCACAAAAATAAAGCTAATAAGATTTTTATAAGACAAAATATTTGAAAGCAAAATATCTGAAACATAAATAACAAAGGATTAATGCCAGAATGTCTATAAATCCGTAAGAAGAAGGAAAAGACCCAATAAAAAAGTGGGCAAAGGATAAGAACAGAATATTTACTGAAGAAACAGAACAAATGCATGCAAATATGCCTAACTTCACCAGAACTAAGAAATTAAAACAAGGAGATACCAATCACTTAACATTTTGCCAATCAGATAGATTTTTTAAATGATAATACCCAGTGTTGGCAGAGGTAAGGGAAAGCAGATTCACTAGAACACTGTACTTGAACTTGGATATGAGCACATTGCAGAGCTGTATACAGCAGTGAGAAGAACAAGGCAGCTCCACACGGACTGATATGGAAAGCTGTCTAAGACATGCTGAGTGAGAGCAAAAACAGTTGCAGAAATATGTAGAATGTGATTACATATATTAAAACACAAACTCAGAAAATGTTCCATTTCTAAACACACAATTGCAAATGTAAATCTACAAAAGGTCTGAGGGATATACCAGACTGCTAAAGGTGGTGAAAGGGACTTTGGGCTTTCATTCTATGTTCTTTTATATTCTTCAGATCTTTTAAAATGAGAATGCATTTGTGTATTATTTGTATAACTAAGAAGCAGTAAAAACTTTGAAAATAAAAAGAAAGTAGGGAGAGAAGAAAAAGGAAAAAAAAAACAAAAAAACTCAAGCTCTAAGGCTGGGCACTATGGCCCACACCTGTAATCCTAGCACTCTGGGCAGGCACTTGAGGTCAGGAGTTCGCCTGAGGTCAAGAGTTTGAGACCAATCTGAGCAAGAGCAAGACCCCATCTCTACTAAAAATAGAAAAAATTAGCCAGGCAACTAAAAATAGAAACAAAAAAAAAATTAGCTGGGTGTGGTGGCATGTGCCTGTAGTCCCAGCTACTCGGGAGGCTGAGGCAGGAGGATCACTGGAGCCCAGGAGTTTGAGGTTGCTGTGAGCTAGGCTGACGCCACGGCACTCTAGCCCGGACAACAGAGCCAGACTCTGTCTCAAAAAAAAAAAAAAAAAAAAAACTCAAGCTCTAAAGCCAAAAGGACCCAGGTTTGAAATCTATAAAACTGAGCAAGTTAAATTCTCTAAGCGTGTTTCCTCACCTATACAGTAGGATAATACTATCACTGCTTCCTCAAGTGTTAGGCAGATTTAACGAGAGAATGTATGTAAAATACTAGCACGGTAGCTGGCACAGCAGAAGTGCTCCAAGAATATGAGCCATTGTAACATCTAACCCTCCTGCTCAGCTGCACTCAGGCTGCCCTTTCTCTTTCCCCATCTTTTCTAATTCTTGATCTCATAGCCCCTTCCCTCTTACCACCACCCTCACTGCCAACAGCTTCAATGAAAACCTCTTCCCTCCCCAGCATGCTAACCTCAGCAATTTGTCAGGATGGACCAGAGGGTGGTCCCGCTCAGTGATCTCCTCCAGAGCCTGAGAGAGGGCAGAGAGCCCTGAAAGCTGCAGGTTTGTGTCCAAGCTGGATATCTGCACAGTGGCCACGACTGCCACAACATGCTGATCCAGGGAGCTGCGAGGACCAGGACCCCGCAAGGCTCTAGCCATTTCTGAAATTGATGGGGGAAAGGCAGTGGCTAAAAAAATTGAGGTACCTCCAAGGTGGAAGTTTTATAGGTCAAGCCTAGTTATCCTACTGACATTTAAATACATTATTCATTACTGCAGCCTACATCCTTTTCCAATTCTATGTGGGGGATCTAACGGTCAAACCATGAAATGAAGATACCCCAGAAAATGAACCCTCCTCTTCTAGAGATACTGAAGAAAGGGAGCAGTGGTTAATCAGATACAATCAAGGTCAAAGGGAAAAAGATGGATGCATGGTTCCCA